ACAGAGGCCAACCAGAGAATATTGAGAAGCAAAGCAGCTAGTAAGCTTGGCCTTTATTGATCTGTTGCAACAGGGTGCTCCCCTCACCCACAGGAGAGAGGAGGAACCCAGAAAATTGGCATGCAAGGCCTTATAAAGACTTTTGAAATTGCCACCCTGTAGATCAAGACCACCCCCAGAAACATCATACATACATCACAGAAGGGGTGTAACCCAAGACTACCCCTCAGATACATCATACCTACATCACAAAAAAGGCGGTCTAAACAGAAATTTGAATGTTGTTTTTCTCCTGTTGTTTATCTCCTGTCTGGCAGGTTACTTGATTGGATTGCCTGGGGAGCCTGGCCAGTCTTTTGTAATGATAAATACTTAGTTCCTGGGCCAAGTCACAGGCTCACACCCTATTCAAACACAGACATACCCTTAAGACAGGATTTGTGAGGAAAGAGACAATGGGGAGGTTTCCCACTTTGACCTTGCAGAGAAAACATTTGGTCAGTTTAGGAATCAAAATGGTTCCAGGTTGGCCTTCCTGTGCTGATCTATGTATGTGCTTGGTTGGTACACTTATGAACATTATCATACATCTAAGACCATAAAATTCCTATCACAGCTTTCAGGCACTTTTGTGTAAGAAGCAATAGATAAATGTAATAAACCAGCAGCTTCAAACCTTTTGATGCTCGGGAATTCTAAGAAACAAACAAACAAACAAAATCGGTCCAATTTTTTGAACCCGGGGCAGTTTTGAAAGCGGTGCTTAAAACCAGCGCACTTTCTGTGGTGAAAATCAGCAAAGGTTCTGAAATGAGCAGTGAAAATCAGGACAGTTTTTAAACTGGTGGTTAAAACCAGCGTGCTTTTGAAATCGGCGGTTAAAATCAGTGCCCGCTTCGACGGTCCAGTCGGCCATCTTGATTTCAAAATGTCGTCCAAAAACACGAGAAGAAAGCCTGCTTCTCGGTCTCAAGAACCGTCGTATGATGTCACCGACAGTGACATCTTAAGGGGCGTCCAAATGCACTGCAAACAAACAGCCTTCCATAGCAGGGAAGAAAATTACAAGGATGAGCCGTCGTCCTGCCCCGGGTGCAAAAATGTCCCACAGCAGCCCTGTCCCCATTCCCTCAGCCCTCATGGCATCTGCTGTGAGTTTTAAGCCGGTTACCCGTCTACTGCTGCCATGGCTGGGTCAGCCCAGGTCTCCTTCAGCGCTTGCTCTGACAAAAGAACTTCAGCCATTTCCCTCCCTTCTTTCTTCCCGCGCTCTTAATTCTCACTGTCCCGGGCTGCCCTCATTAATCCCCCACCGCCCCTCCGTGAACTGGAGGGATCTTAAATCCGGCCAAAGTCCTCCATCTTTCTGGAGCAATTACACAAATTTGCAAAGGGGGCTCTGCCTCCCGTTTCAGGGCCTGAAGCTGCCCAGAGGAAGGATGCTAAATCTCCTGCGTCGTGCTTTTTCGTCGCACGCTACCTGGTTATATTTTCTACGAAAGTGCAGTTTTGTAAAAATAAAAATAAAACAAGTGTGTGTGAAAGAGGGAGGGAGGGAGGGAGGGAGGGAGAAGTGAACTTGTCAGTTCCAGTGTCCTTCAGCTTCTCATTTTTCCAATCATAAGTTCAGTGTGGTGAAGTGGTTAAGAGCGGTAGACTCGTAATCTGGTGAACCGGGTTTGATTCCCCGCTCCTCCACATGCAGCTGCTGGGTGACCTTGGGCTAGTCACACTTCTCTGAAGTCTCTCAGCCCCACTCACCTCACAGAGTGTTTGTTGTGGGGGAGGAAGTGAAAAGGAGGTTGTGAGCCGCTTTGAGACTCCTGAAGGGAGTGAAAGGCGGGATATCAAATCCAAACTCTTCTTCTTCTCTCCGCATTCGCTTGAGAATCTATTTTTAAGTTCCCCGTGAAAATTTTTAGCACAGATTTCTCCTGATTCATACGTTTTTAGAGAGTCCGTGTGGTTAGAGCACTGAAGAAACCAGGACTCCAATCCCTGCTCAGCCAGGAAACTCAGTGTATGACCTGGAAGGAGGTGTGGGGTGGAAGCAGTTCCTGCCTCTCAGCCTGACCTTCCTCACAGGGTTGTTGAGAAGGTTAAATGGGGAGGAGACATGTGTACGCCACCTTGATCTCCTTGAAGTGTGGGCAGCAAGAATAAATAAATATCTGATAAAACGAAATAACTACATGCAATTTTGCCTAACATGCTTGTTTCTGCAAAGCCTCCTCAAGTTAAACCTTTTTGCGTGTCATTTCCCCTGATATATCAATTTTTGTGCATACTTTAGTATATATACTTTAGTATATATAGGGACGCGGGTGGCGTTTTGGGTTTAACCACAGAGCCTAGGACTTGCCGATCAGAAGGTCGGCGGTTTGAATCCTCGTGATGGGGTGAGCTCCCGTTGCTCGGTCCCTGCTCCTGCCCACCTAGC